TCGTATATCCATGCCATGCGTGTCAAGTTCTGTGCTCTTAACAGGTGATCACTTGTTTTGCCATGTCTTTGGTCACTTAGGAGATACAACCCTTTAAAGATAGGTTTAATCCTATCACCCTCGTTTAACAGTTGTGCACTTCTATAGCCCTTGCTGCATTCATTGACAAGAAATAGCCTCTCAAGATTAGGCTTTAAACCTCTTTTTAGCTTCATAACATAGAATATTGTTTATGCTGTAACTCAGAACATAGGGAGCAAGGTTCCCATCATGATTGGGTTAAAGTCACTTTATTTCCAGGAAATGTATACTCTGATGCCAGAATTGTAAAGGGTACAGGAATTACATGTTTTCTATACTACCACATTTTCTCTCAAGTCGCTACCTATTTGCGATGAAATATCCCAAAGTGCAGGCATTAGGTTTACTTGAGTGGTGAGTCTCATGGGTGTGTGTATTATAGGCCTGGCCCGCACAAACGTGTGTGCATTAGCAACACTCCATGCCTCCCCTTTGCAAGTTTTTTTTCTTTCTTTCCTTCTTACTTTCCTTGATTTCTGCATAATCATTTTTTTTCTTTTTTGACATTTTCTAATGTCTTTCCTTGTATCAAAATTATAATAGAATGTCTTCCTATTGCAGACTCCATATCATCCCTCTAGGTAGTTCATAACTCTTTGCAATAGCATTATGTAATATTTTGTTATTTGTTTCATTTTAAAAATATTCTCATAATGTTAAATTTTCTGAAATACACCCTGCACCATGGCAGGCAGGAATAGGATTCTGAGCATAGAAATAGTGTTCTCCCAGGAGCTGGTGCTCTTCCAGTTGTGGCTCATGGTTAGTATATTCCACACTCAAATACAGATGGAAATAATGCAAGACCCCCCTCCTAAAAGCCCACTAAGTCTTATCACTTCCAAGAGCAGTATGCAGTTATAGCAAGTCAATCCCGTCACACTGGCATTCAGCCAAATTTTTTCATGACACTATATTCCCTGTTACCAAACCCTCAGCCAAATTTTTCTCTGATGTGATGGTCATGTCACCCGGATCCAAGGGGTTGAAATCTAATGTCTCTTAAGGAGAGTTGAATTAGAACAGCTAACTGTGTTATGAGTTTTGGTTTCACACAACATCAAAGTATGATCATTGACTAGGCTACTTTGTAGGGGCATACTCAACTCACTCTCCTGTAGAGGGTTCTAGGAGTTTGGCTACCTATTAGGGGTTTAGGGATCAGATTTTCTGCAAGCATTTATTAGATAATTGATAGTATTTGGTTTCTGTAAGCCTATTGCTCTTAGTAACTTAGCATTAATTTACCAATAGATTAATTATTGTTTTGTAAGAAATAATTTATCAATCGGCTAATTTAGGCTCTTAGTGTTCCAAGTCTTTGATGATAATTTTAAGTGGACTCTTCAGCTTGAAAATTTTTGAGTGAGTTGAAATTATATTACATAATTTTCCATTTTTAAAATGCAAGGAGTGTGAAAAGACACAATAAAGCATTTTATCACAGTGTAAAATACCACTTTGCTCATGAATTTTTATTTCACATGGCCCCTTATATCCCTGAGTAGGGATACCTTGCAGTACATTGTGTTCAGACTGATTGAACTTTTCTTTTATCCATAACAGGTCTTACTATCCCACATGAAATATCCTGTGGTTCCTCGTAGAATAACGATAAGCAAACGATTAGCGCAATGCATGCACCCGGCTCTACCATCGGGGGTCCATCTGAAAGCCTTAGAAACATATGATATTATATTCAAGTGTATGGGAACCAACAGGCTCTCACAAGAACTCTTCATATACAGTGCAGGTTTGTATCCTTTTTTTTATATATAGATATATTTTTCTGATATATGTCAAAAATATAGATTGAAATCTGTCATTTTCACACACAATCTTTCTTGGTCTATATTATTTTTATTATTATCATTTTAGAGAATCTATTTTTTCTTTCTACCATTACAAGATAAAATCAGATTGGCTGTTGGAAGAATTTAAAGAATTCATTATCTTAATAATTTGGGAGACTTTCAATTTGATGGAAAAAATGTTTTAAAATTTGGTGAATTAGCAGATGCATATTTTATTAGGTGTATATAGACTGGACATTTCCTTAAAGAAAAATATATCATTTGAAATATCCTGATGTGGCAGTATTTCAGTCAACACAAAGCCAGCTAATATATAAAAGTTTTAATTTTCTTTCAGGCTTATTTCCATTATTTAGCAGTGCTGCAATGAATGTAAGATCAGCCCTGTTAACAGTTTATGAAACTCACTTTGTCCCGTTGGGCCCAAGACTACGACCAGGACTCAATGGTTTCCTGTCAGGAATTCTGGCTGGTTTGGAAGAAGGTTCTGATCATCTAGAAAGGTATGTTCATTTACTGAAACAAACTGATCTACCTGCATTTTGAAGAAAGGACAAAAAAATTTGGAAAAGAGTGTCAAACTACTCATGTTTAAACTTGTGCTAGGTTTTGTTATTCAGAAAAATGGGAGGATAAAATTGAGTAAATTAGGGAAGTAGTAAATTGATTAGAGTAGTACTTTATGAAAACAGAATGACAGCAAATGTGAACTTTCATAAAGCCTATAGTAAGATATATATTTGTTGCTCTAAGACATTTTGTTATCCTTGATCCACTAATGTACAATATCATCTATGTTTCTTTCACAACTGATAACTGTTGGAATTCATCATTCTTAAAATCTTAGTTATACAGGGTAGATCTTTCTCTTCTAGGACATCACAGCTGCTAACAAGAGTTGCTGAAGGAGTGGGACAAGCAGAATTCTTTGGCTGCTTGTGGGACTGTGTTTGGGGAAACTCAGGAGTGAGACTTCCTGCCATCACCCATATTACATCATGCTATAATAAGAAATTGTCCACAGAAGATCAATTGTATATCCTTGGCACAAATATTGATGTTATGGTGAGTGTTACTTTTGAATGAATCTTATCTTATATGCTTATCTTTTTGTTTATAAGAAAGGGAGGGTGGGAGTTTTTTTTTTTTTATATATATGAAGTTAATTTTTATAGTTTCCTTTAATATTTCTTATTTGAGAGACATGTGAATCTTTAACAGGTCTCAGCATTGTGTCAAGCAATGGAAGATAGTAGTGTCTTGGTGCAGAGAGCAGCTCTTGACCTGACTTTAGCTGCCCTACCCATGCATAATACGCAACTGTTACGGCCAGATCTGGTCAGAATTGTCACTTCTGCCATTTTAGTGTTACTGAGAAGAGATATGTCCCTGAACAGGTAAGTAGATAAATAGGAAATCCTTGTTTTTTAAAGATATATTCGTTTTATATGTTTATGAAAATTATTATCATTGTGTATTTTTTTTTAGATGCCTTGATCATTAATTGCCATTTTGCTCTACATTTTAGGAGGTTGTATGCATGGCTGCTTGGATCTGAAATCAACCTCTCACTCTTGTCTTCCGAACATCCTGTTGTAAAGCGCCTCAACAGCGCTGTGAGTGACAGTAACACTGAAGATGGAACCGAGGTCAATGCATATTTTGAAACATTCTCAAGACCCCTTTTAGTGGAAGGGGTTGTGTCTTGTTTGCAAGCCAGCCAGGGAACCAATCCACCTGATTTACGACCATATAGACTAATAGTCTCACTGCTGGATAAGCCAGAAATTGGGCCTTTCATTCTGGATGACATATTTCTTGATCTTTTAAGGTAAGCCTTAATTTGGTGTGAGCATTGAGGTTTCAAGAGAATTGAAGTCCAAAATCAAGTCTTAGGTCAGAATTTTATTTTTCTGTTATCCCAATTTAGGTTTATAGTTCAGGGAAGGGTTATTGTACTATAATTATTTTAAGAGGTGTTTTATGCTTATTTTAGCATTATTTCTTACAAATATCTGAAGTGTTTTTATGGATATTTTTCATAGCCACTTGAATCTGATTGCATTGATATGCATTATCCAGACGGTAATAGACTGTTTTCCTTGCACAGAATTCATATTATCTCTCTGTGTAGTGAAAAATGTTACATTTTTTTTACTTGTGTCATATATCTAATATTTTCATGATATTCAATTTTCTGCAGTATAACCTGTGGTGCCGGTCATGGTGGCTAGGAATACAATGCTGAGCATGGAAATAGCATCCTCCCTAGAGCCAGCACTGTGCCAGTCATGACTTGCAGACATTACATTCCACACTCATTTATTGATGGGAATTATGCACCCACCTAGCTGGCAGCCATTTTGTCCTATGACGGCACATTCACCTCACCCAGCCCTCAACACAAATTTTTTCATGTTGCGATGGTCATGTCACCCTGATTGAAAGGGTTAATGCACAATGGATTTTTAAAATCTCAGCCTTATAGAGTAAAAATTGCAGCCTTATAATTTTCAGTCCATATTGGAATCTTATTGTTATAAAAGTATTGATACTAGTAATAACTTTCACAGGTGCTTGTACCATACCTGCCAAGTGCTTCAAGCCTCAAATAACACCCCATCAGAACCTAGTAGCAGAAGACAAAGCACAACAGACAAGCAGACCCCACCACCTCCTTCTCGCTCACCAGATGGCTCCAAACCAGTAATTGAGGGAAACAGGGGACTTCATGAAGTTACTAAAACTGCCACTCTCCTGTTTAGTGCCCTACAACCATCATACCCTTGGATGCATCTCACAGGTTTACTTAGCATGGCATGTCAAGCCAAAGCTAGTCAGATGGATGGGGGTGAGAAAAAAGATGATGGCAAACTTGTTTTAGATGTGGGTAGTTCAGTCATGACAGTTTGCGAGATTTGCACTCTGCTGCAACATCTGTTGACATCTCTTCCTCATGATACTCAGCAACAGACTCAAGCTTCAAGGCTCCCAGAGGTTTTGTCTACAGTTACCTCCCTTCTGACTGAACATCTCAGCACTTTGACTGCTAAAGAACTCTCTGCAGGACTTTCTCTCTCTCAGGCAATCTTACACAAACTCATACCTTCAGTTACTTTGCCTCCATCAGCATCTCAGTCAAGGCCAGATTCAAGAGCAAGCATCACTACCTTTGCATCCCTTCAGATGCATGCTCTTTCTCAAGTGTCTACTATTCCTCGACCTCTACTAGTTCAAGAAGCTTTTGCAAGAGAGAGCCCTCCTTCAGAGTGTGGCATTGTGCAAATAGGAATAGAGGCAAGTGAGGATGATCCAAATAGTATTGAAAGGAAGAAAACTGAAGACCTTTCAGTTGATTCACTCACTGATGAAAGTAATAATAATGAGAATTTAGTTGATGGAGAAGCAGAAACATCATTTATCTCAGTAGTCTCAAATTCATCAATGGAGGACTCTGAGAGATTGAAAGGAGAAGCTGAAGGTGAAAATAAAGAAAAACAAGACAGTTCTGTAGAAAAGGAGAATGAAATGACTACCACAAATGCAATTAAACCTGAAATAAGTGAGGACTTGTTTGAAATTGACCAAGATGGAGAAATAGTAAACAGTAGTGAGGATAAGCATGCCAATTTGGAGGAAGTCCCAAGTGATTCAGGAGTTGACATGGAAGAAATACCCTCACAACCCACAGAGCTTGCACGATTTTTAATATCACAAGAAGCAAGTGAGGATGAGTATGAAAGTGCACCTCAGAGTCCTAGTCATCAGGGCTCAATGCCATTATATAATTATGTTAAAGTATTTGAAAAATTCTTCTTGCAGTTTATCCAGAAAAAAATTATTCTAGAAAATTCAAATCTAGCTGATTTTCAGAGTGCTCTCAGTAGATCAGGAAATTTGCAAATGGACAGTCTATCAGAACTGAATTATTTGTTGAGAGAATGTCTGCAGTGCTGTGAAAATAAAGTAGAATCCACACAGTCTTCTCCAGTCAAAAGTAAAGGAAAGAAGGTACAGTCATCCCCCTGGTCATCTCCCTCAAGAGTATCTACATCCTCTTCAGGCTTTTCACAGAGTCAGAGAGAAATTACCGACTTCACTTCTGTCCTGCAGTTGCACCACAAAGCAGATGAACAATTTGAAGTCTTCAAGGCAGCTTGTAGCATATTGGTTGACTTGTCTTCACTTCCTACAACTCCTGGACTCCCTCTGAACAGGCCAAGTAATCAGATTCCTCACTGGTTTGTTGGGCTCATAGCATGTGTCATCAATGGGAGTCAAGTCTCTCCTCGCTTTGTCATGGCATCTGTGTCTACTCTGCTGGAGTTGGTGATGTTGGCGCAGTCTGAGCTATCCGTATGGAGGAGTGAGCATGAACTTGGGTGCAAAGGAGGACCTGGGGTTGTGTCAGTTAATATAATCCCTCTACTCCTACCAACGCATACCCATATCCTCCTTCATCATACTACAGTTTATCAAGTATGTGCTGCTTTATTTTATATATATGTATGGATGAATGATTGGCTATATGGAGCTAGGGTAAAAAAATACATGATAATGCAGGTAGCCCATCGAAAAATTCTAGGCCTAGAGAATTATATCAGTAGTATGAAAACACTAGGATCAATGATTCCAAATTCTTACCCGGAAATTAATGGTTCTGAAATTCCTTCCACTAAAAATTTTGCATTTTTTTCTTGAAAATTGATGAATGGATTGGTAAAGATGTATAGATTGATATGTAGATGAAGAAGTAAATGTGAATATTCATATTGATGTATATGTAAATTGACATGGATATATTATTTATGTTATTGACACAGTTTATAGCTTTATGTACACCAAAGATAAGGTTGTGATGTGTATAACAGTACAATTTACTTGAATACTGGTTACACTCTTATGCTAATCATGAAATAATTAGCTTCATTATTTTAATTTCAGCACATGGCAAGACAGCTTTGGAGTCATTTGAGGCCATCAATGAGTCACCTCCATGTAGGTAGCACAGAGCTTCTCCTCCAGCTACACAACTTGACTCTTCCTCGCAGCCCAAGTGTAACACTGACATCTGCTCCGCCTCAGTCCCCTATGTCAGTTGTGGAGAGGGAGATTCTTGCCACTCTCACTTATACATTGCAGGTACCTGTGACTGATGAGAAGGTAAGTCCTATATATGAATTCATATTTGATTGCCTACTCCACTATTTTCATCATGCTTAGACATTTTTCATCACTGCCTGGTTATACCATTTCATAAAAAAAATCAAAATTTGTATGCTATAGATTTGTCTTTGTTCTCTTACGTAACACCACAAAAGATTTTGAAAAAAAAATTGTTTATTTGTTCTAGGAGAGTGGGGTACTATGGAGTCATGAAGGCATCAGGGCAGAGTATGACAGTGTTGCCATGCACCAGTGGATGACGCTGTGGCAGGTATCAAGAAACTTATCTTCTGGTCTTGCAGGAAATTTCCCAGGGTTTGACAGGTGAATATTAAGTCTTTTTGTTCTGCTTTTTAAGGGATGCTAGTATGTCTTGGTGTTCTTTATTGGTTGAACAGTACATTCTCTAGGTCTTTTATCTCATATGTATTTAGAAATCATCTGGCTCAGTTGAAACCAGTGAAGTTTGATTATCAGAAACAAGCGTATACAAACGTTGAATAGGGAACCGGCTGAATAAGGCAAAATTATAACCGAGGAAGCTTAACAATTTTCAATTTCAGTATTATTAAATGAACTAACTCTAATTCTCGTTGACATCTGCGTAACTGATTCCACCAACTAGCCGACTTCAAATCTTAGATTTAACCACGTAGGAATCCAGTGTGTCGATTATTTAATACAAACCAGACATAACCTTTACTCAATCTATCCTAATGACGGAACACCAACAAAGTGGATAGCATTTTCTATGACGGCCAGTTTATGCTCATAATCATTAGTTTTCGCGTACCTTTCCTATATTTACTTATAGAGTGGTGGAAACGTCCTAATAGTAGTGTAAAACTTTTATACTCTTATGAATACTGACTGTTATTAACCAGAGCAATCATAGAATTTAGTTCACGAAATTAGTGATGTCTAAAGTCTTGTAAGCTGTCAATCACTGATGCATATTAATAAACATTCAATGTCCTTTGACCCTTTATATCACACGAGATTATAACTTACCGCACATCTTTTGTATTAGAAAAAATTCCTATAATTCAAATGGATTATCAAACAATATAAATAGATTATATAAATATAAGTACTTATAAGTATGTGGAGTTAATAATGTTTACTTATATCCAGTGTAGGTGTTGAACTGTTAGATTTATATCTGATTCACCAATATAAATAAACAGAATGTCTTACCTGGATGGACTTATGAGCTGTTGTTCGATGGAAGATTAGTGAAGCAATTGACATCTTAGCGCTCTACGCAACATGCATGGTAACTTTGCTAACACACTCATTCACAGGCAATAGTTGGGACACTGACTCGGCTTATAAAATAGAACCGGAATCCTGTAGTTATTCTGAACTGAACACCACAGACATATCAACCAGTTATCACGATTCTAACAAGTATGAGACTAATTCGAGAAAATTGTCCTCACTGTCCAGACATGCACAATTCGGTGCTAGACGAATATTTGTATTCCCGTAGAAGGAGTCACAGGAATCTAAGTACTCCTAATCAAAGCTAACTGGTGACAGCGTTAGAGAATCATTCTGTAAACATGGATGAGCAGAGGAAGGGAAAGAAGAGAGAGGTCAGGGAAGGAGAGGACACGTGGCCACTTGTTCCCAGACGCCATAACATATACTTAGGCATTTACTTACAAATGCTCCAAAGATCAGAAGCAGAAGATGTATGTCCGACGACCATATCCAAAAGAATAGCATTTACATAAAGTTTTTGTAAAACTTGCCTTCCTGTCAGTGAGCATGCCCCTTATCTGCAAGCTAATTCAATTATACCCTATAATATGTTCATATATCCTATCAACTCACGATTATTCCATAAGATATAGTACCATGCTGTACAGAAATCTGTGCAACAAGGTTATGTTGAACATCCAGACCATTCACTCAAAAACCTTTCCAATCAGTAGAAATGCCGAGAGCCAGAGGTGGTCAGCAAATCAAAGCTTGGTCAATACTACATATATATCACTGAAACAAGATTTACAATGATGTGGATGCAACCATCTCTCAGAGTAGCTCATTAAGATTCTATGTAAGGTGAGTGTATAAATTGGACAAAACACATGAATTGGTTTCAGAGACTTCTTGTATGAAGTAGATGCTGAATTGTGACTTATAGTGATTCGAGCGATGACAATTATCCTGAATTAGTTGTATGGATGTTCTGAAGGAGAACGAGGATACATAGTAATAGTCAGAACAATCTGTAGAAAGAAGCTTAAGTGAAATAGGATAATGAATGGGAATCGTGTGTCCAGTTAGTAAGGCATACATTCTTATCACGTGATCTATCGATAGCCCTTTACACGTACAGGTGTGAAGTACAAGTAACGAGGTGTTAACAGAGACAGGATTGTCAACTGGATATAGTTAAAGAATCATTGAGAATTAGGCACAACCATATATAAATTATTCTCCTTTTAAGCTGACTTAGGCATTCATTCCAAAGACTAATAGGAAACTACTTTACAATCATACGCTTCACTACGCTTATTTGTCAAACTTGTTTATTTAGTCCATAGAGATCGTCAAAGAATTCCGTTGGTGTGTGGTGATGATGGGTTTGATGGTAGTAGAAGTGGTTCAGAGATGGTGTCAGACAGATTTCAAGGATCTAACCATTGTCATCCTTTCAGGTACGTGTATCGATCATATGCATAATTTCTTTGCATTCTTATATCTCTTGCCTTTCTCTTATACACTCTACGTCTCTGATATTGTATATTGGAATAAATATGATCGTGCAGATATACAGAGTACAGATGACAAAGTGTGATAATCACTTAAAGTTCCTTAAGTCTATAGTCTTCACAAGCAATTTTAACAACCATTGAGTTTGCAACAGTAAGAGCTGCACGCAGGTCCTACCCATAATATTACAGCATCTACTCAGTATAATGCTAGAAGTCGATTGAGTGTGTAGCATTCAAATGTTCACTTACCATGTGACATCTGTGGTCATGTAGCCTGATGACGCGAGCCGGGCGAGTACATCATTGTGGGTTACAAATCAACAAAACGAATCCCCGTTCCATCCCAGAGAAAACACAGATACTATAAATTACTGAAGAATGATACCAGATAACAATTTACTGTGGAATACGTTCAACCATCAATTTTGGTCTACATCGCTTTGGAGAAGGAGCCTACCTAGCTCGGATTGTACTGGGTACTTAGACTCTGTCAATTCATCCGCTTTAGAAAGACAGACCCGTGATAGGCAGATAGATAGAGAGTGCAGTGTGATGAGATCGACATCGAGTGTCGAGGCATGAACATAGTACTGCGAATTAAGAGACACAAAACCGGAGCTCAGCTGGGAAATATCAACGCTGGTCAAGACCACATTCCATCAGCCATGTTCATGGAAGGATAATCACAATGTGAGGCCACTAGAAACAAGCAATCATACTTCACTAGTTTTGACGAATGTAGGTCTGTTGGTGTGCACTGCTCTTCACAAGTCAGCACGTTTTCTAACGATAATAGCCGCTCACTCCTAATGAGACGAAATTGTTTACCTATGAAATACACACAAGTGCCGGAGAATAGAAATAAGTGTTGAACTACATTGAGTAAAGGAAATGAGCCACGCAATGGAACGGTATTATCTGCACAAGTGCTAGAGTAAGATCCCACGATAATCATCTCCATACGTTCTTAGTTACAGCAATTGTATCCATTCTCTGTGTTCAAAGTACTCTCACGACACACATATGATTGAAAACAGATTATGTTGGCCAACATCGCACAGAACATGACAGGCACGTGCTTGCACGATAGATAAGGCAAAAGGCAAATCAACCCCCCTTTGGAGATATATGAAAGAAAACGCCAACACGGCGAGAAAAAAAACATGGGCCTCCCACATTGTCGCCTGGGGAATAAGGTTAAGGAGCAAACTGACTAGAATCCAAGCACAGAATAATACATTGCTCTGCTAATATCTGGTTCCATCAATACATCTCTCCTGCAATCTTTCAGTGCACCTCCCTTCAGGCCAGGACTGACAGGGCAGATACTAGTAACAATAACTGGTACTGATGGTATTATTCATCCAGTGGAATGAAAATCTCTTAGATGGACTCCAGTCCAGACAGAACTAGTGGTATTAGAACAACTAAAGCTTGGTGCTAACGGTGCGTGATTACCGAAATTCGCTCTTGTGCCTATGTGGCAAGACATCATTTTCAGCACCTACTGCTATCTATGGGCTGGCTAACAGTTACAGGACCAAGTAGCATGGGCCTTTCCGAAGACATGACAGATAGTAAAGGCTGTGAGAACCGAATCATATTGTAATGAACCTCTAATCACCTACCTCTGTCACACCAGACGAGCACATCTTTTTTCAGTCTTTCTAGTGTTAATTTGTGAACCAGTGTAAATGAGATTTCAAAATATGTAAAAATTCTTTGAACTGATATAAACTTATAGTTGGTAATGGATTAAAATTTCAAATTGTAATGTGAACTTTTAAAATTTAAGTTGTTTAAACTATACTGTAAAAGCATATCTTGATTATTTAGTATGTCAATAAGTTTATTGGATACACACATCGGAAATAGATCTCTAGTGGTAGTACTACTCAAAGACCTTGCAGTAAAACCTAAATACAGGTTGTGTAAATAACTGATATTTGTCAGGTAGTTTGTAATCTAAATAAAATTACTTTATTAACAGTGTGGAATCGGCAGGGCTGTCATCAAAGCTTTCAGAAAGTCAGGCAAAGTACAAATGCTGTGTCCTAAGCCAATGAGTTCCTTAACCGTATACAACAACAAGAAACCAAAGTAGGTGTTAGGAGATCAAATACTGTTGGAAGTTGGAAGGCCCACAACCAGTTGGCTCTTCTACAGATGATAGTCAAATTGTACGAAGTTTAACCTCTACTAGCACGACTAGTAGCGGACGTGTCAAAACAAGGTGAGAATGAAACAACCACACAATTGAAATTGATGGTGCTCAGACAGGTAAGTTGCAACTTTTATATTAATTAATAAGGGTTTGACAAGTTAAGATATTAGCGATTTGTCTTATTTGATTCATCCCTGTCCAAGTGTTAATGAAAAACGAAATGGCAATTGTGAAATAAGCAGTCAATGAATAGATTAAGAATAAGTAAAGATATACATTTATGTGGATTATGCTTGACTAATTGTGCGAGAGTATGTTGTTTTAAGAGATTTCGATTTTATGTTGAATTAACAAGTGGTGTTTGCCATGGAAGTTTAGGTTTTCCTTGCAAGTGAATTCCTTGGATTATTGTATCAACAATGTCCACGCGCGTCAACAACTTGTTGTATGGCGAGGAAGGTACACTTTGCTATGGTAAGGAAGTAACGTTATTGATGTCACCAGCCTCTGCTCCTAATTGTTCTCCAGCAACTGAATGAATTGATCAGAGCGAGAACTGGTGCCCCTCAGGATAAAAGAATATATTAAGAAGGGAAACTTTACAGGTAATAGTTTATACGTGTAAGCCCTTACCATAATATATTAATTCTCATTCGTCTTATGTAATGCTAGGAGGCCGGTTGTAGCCAAGCAGACGCTATCATCTCTTGAACAATACAATAATGCTGGTCTTCAGACCTTGCCGTAGTGTAGCTAATCCCACTTAAATTTGAGACCTGTTATGTGAATAAGGTAACCGAGTGACAACTGTTTTATCCTTGCTAAATTTATATTGTAATGTAGGCAGTGTAAGTAAAAGCAACTTTAGCATCATATGCTGGACTCATGGTGTTCTATGCACTTAATTTTAACCTGTTATGTAATAATTAACAGTGAAAATTGTGTTTCAGGAAGTATCTGGCAAGTTGCTAGAGTGCTGTAGTAGCATCGCAGGTTCCTGTCTTGAGGCTACTACATGGTTAAGACGAAACCTTACAGTCAAGACTGATACAACAGAAAAGAAGGATGGTATGAATGGTGAGAGGAAAATCAGATTTGTATGAAAGATTATTTACTCTTATATAGAAATTTTGACATCTCTGATGTATCTCTGATTTTTTGTCAATTTATTTATTTTTTGTTGTTTAGTAAGTATCCTTGAAAAACAAATAAATACATTTTGGAGGAAATATTTTTTCTTTATTTTCAGATGCTTCAGCATACAGTGTAGCAGCACTAAGTGTCCTTGCAGAATTATTAGCCCCTCTACTAGATGTACTGTATGTTAGTGAGGAGAAGGACAAGGTTGTTCCTCTGCTTACAAACATCATGGCTAATGTTGTTCCATATCTGCGTAACCATACGTAAGTATTCCTTTTGTTATCCAATACTTTTAGCCAGCTCTTAGTTTGTCTGCATACTTGTTATTTATAAAAAGAGACAGAAGAATTGGTTATAGGTTACTTATTTTTCTTGCTTTATTAGTATAAGTTCGGGTAAGAGCTGCACTATTGGCTCATGCCAGGGCCAACCTAAGGACAACATTAAATACTGTACAAGATTTATGTGAATTTCTGAAATCTTGAAATCTTATGGAATATTTCCAAGCTCATTGTAGGCCATAGTAATTATTCATTCTTTTTTAGAGTTTTGAATTATTAAACAGTAGTCATTTGTAATGCAAAAGTTAAAAAGTATCATTAGAGCAAATGCAGTATGTTTTTCAGTCACCCTGTGTTTCTTTATTTCCATATGCATTCATACATAAAAATTTATTGCACTTCTTGACTTTATTATAGGCGGTCAAACATGCCTGCATTTGCTGCATGTTCTCAGCTACTGTCATCGCTGTCGGGTTACCAGTACACTCTCCGAGCTTGGAGACGAGATGTTATCGATCTTCTCCTTGACCCACAAGCATTCATGATGCTTCCACCTATACTGACATACTGGCGGACTATTGTAGATTTTCTTTGCACACATGACAAAACTGTGTTCAAGGAATTATTGAGTAAGTAGAGAATAATGTATGATGATTAACTAACCAGAATTAAAAGAAATGAGATGTGTTTCAGTTGTTTTCTTCTTGAAAAATATTATTTTGACTGTGACTGATATGATTCCCTTTCCAGCTCGTGTATCCATGTCCCAAGGAGGATCACTAAGTCTCTTCTCTAGTAAGGAGTCAGAATATGAAATTAGAGCAGGATTGCTGAAGAGGCTGGCATTCACCATCTTCTGTTCAGAGACTGATCAATACATGCGACACATACCAGATATTCAAGGTAAGGGATAGTTTACAGTTGTTGAATTTTTGTATGTTTATCTTTTGTTTATCAGTATACAAGTGACCCCCATTATCCAACTGGGATATGTGCCATAGAAAGGTTTCAGGTGAGAAAATGTAAGATGATGTGTCTTATTTTCCCATAAACTTAGAATTAAACTTTGTTTATAACATGGCATAGTTTGAAATGTCAGTATGGTGGAGGTCAGTGTTAGATAACAAAGAAAAGATGTAGATAACAGATTATGAGCATTGTATAAAAAGGGTTACATAAGGGAGAGTAATGCATTACAGACAGACAAAGTTGATACACTATGTTTGTACTATAGACAAGCACATGCACCAGATCTCAATCTAGAAACATAAGATCTCAATGTATGCACACATGCACCAGATCTCAAGAAACATAAGATAAAAAAAATAGGGATAGTCACAACCTTCTCACCTTTAAGGGGAAAAAATCCAAAACTGATAGAATAACACATTCTGTACTTCATTTCTGGCAATTGTGTCTTTTTGCTTATTTCTTTATATTCAGAAGGTTCCACAAATGCTCAGTTGCCACGGAGTCAATTACTAGTCCAGCCTATCTGACTTATTGACCCTTTTCCTTTAGTTTAGGAAAGATTCTTTCTTATTTCTTCATTGCAATTGATATTACTAACAACATTATGATAATCATGATGTCAACAACAATGATAACATCATTGGTATTAATAGTATTGCGGGGGAAAATCCTAAAAATTCAAGGAAAGGGTAAATCAGCCAAAGACATATAGGCTTACTATTTTGTAGTAATATTCCCCAATTTATTTTACAGCTAATTAACATATTTTGAAGAGAAATGTGAAATACCAATTTGTTTTAAATAAGGGTGATGAGTTGAAATGAGTACTTAAAGAAATATATTTTGATATAAAAATAAACTATAAAGTCTCTCTACATGAAATACACTTAAATGCTGTAACATCCATGAATTCTAGAACGTTTGGCCGAAGTGACCCGGTTAGGCCAAGTGGTGCCCTCCCTCGTGGCCCAAGTGCTACTGTGCTTCCGTGTCCTTCTCCTGAGGATGTCCCCACGTGGTGTGACCTCACTGTGGCCTGTAATCATAACAGAACTGGTGCAGGTGTTCCTCATGATGGAACAAGAACTAGCTACTGACACAGAACAGTTCAGGTATGATGTGAGTTTGGAATTCTTGGTGAATGAGGTTGGAAATTAGCAAGCCTTTAAGTAATAATGCACCGTTTAATGCAGCACAAAAATTAAGTTTGGTTGATTTATGAATATTGGTGCAAAGGCTTTGTTTTTTGTAGAAGTAATGAAAGGCACAACAATTACAAAGGTAGCCTGTCACCACACTGTTCACTTTGTAAGTAGATGTAAAAAAAATGTGAAACTGCAAAGAAGTTTCACAAAACAGACAACCTGCAGAAATAAATTTCAATCTATACATTTGATAATAATTACTTTTTAAGATTTCCTCTACTGCATACAGGCTTCTAGAGGACTCTCTGTGCTTAGAGACAGTGCAGTGTATAATATTATATATATCTCTTCCCTCACCTGCGTTTGTTGATGGTGGTGGTGCGTTGGTGACCGTACAGCAAGAAAGGGGGCAGGTAATAACTGGTAGATACAGGATAGTCTCCTCCAGTAGGCTGGTCTTGCAACTATGCATCTGCTCGTTCATTCATATCCAGTTGCTGCTGTGCTCAGATACTTTATAGTTAATTAACTTTTGCCTGACTCCTGTGGTGAATGATTGGTATTTCTTTGCTTTCACTGTCTCATGTTGATGATGATTTTTAGTCAAAGGTAGGCGTCTTGTATGTCAGACATAGTTATTTGTCTTGGTAGTTAAGGTATTTATTTTACATATTTATTACATATATATATATATATATATATATATATATAATATATATATATATATATATATATATATATATATATATATATATATATATATATATATATATATATATATATATATATATATATATATATATATATATATATATATATATATATATATATATATATATATATATATATATATATATATATATATATATATATATATATATATATATATATATATATATATATATATATATATATATATATATATATATATATATATATAGAAAGTATTTAATCCAAACCAGGTTTTTCTTTTGTTAAAAGATATATAGATAATATATTGTTATAAGATTCAGGTTAAATTGGTAACTTTACTATTAAAAATTATGTAATGATAAAATTCTGTTTTTGCAAGTGATAATAAAATCAGAAATTGGATAAACCCAATTTTCACCCATAAGCTTTTAGAAAATGTATGTATTTGCTAGGATTATTTTAATTAAATAACTAAAATTTACAAAGCATGTTAGCACCATAGCATGAATACAGACTAATATGACAATGCAAAATCTTATTTAGAAATGCATGTACAATTTGATATTTTCAAATAGATTGTATCTTGGAGATTAATCATATATGATGTATAAGAATTAATATTCTAGGAGTAGATAATCTTTAACTACATTTAATACTATCAAAAGACTTCCTAGTATACAGTACACACATTTCTCATTTTCTTCCTCAAATGACATTTCTGTTTTTATTCTGTATGCACAATGTTTTTTCCCCAAAGGTTCCAACATTATCAGTAGTTGGATGAATCTTCTGCACATTTGAATGGAAATGTAGATTTTATTTTGTGTCTGTTATTTGTACCTTGTTATAAACAGTGGTTTTATTTATTTTAGATGTGAAATTTACGTGAAATTTTATTAGGTATGCAAGATAATTATGTATTTGTGATATCAGTTGTTGCTTTTCTATGTGGAACTTCATTTCATTTTAGGTACTATATGTCTTTGCCATTGATTATTGTATTTCTAAGTTGTGCGTTTGTAACCATATGTGGCAAGAAATAAGAATGCCATGTTAGATATTCTGAATTAATTATTCAGAACAGCTGCTACTGTGTCTCCACAGTGCACATTCTGCTTGGGTGTTGAAGAAAAATGAGGATACACAGGCTTCTAAGGAAAGACTAGTCTGTTTTAACTTTAAAATAGATAAAAAATTATACTGCTATTTTTGCTCATATTCGAGGATGTAGCCAACCAAGCCCAGTCAAAGCCTAGTACATGGTGTAAGTGAAATGGACTTGCATGCAACCAGTCTCCAATTTGACCAAGCTACCAATTTTTGAAAAAGCTCTGTCATGTTGATCGTTGGTTAATTGCTTGCATTCAGATCGGGAAATGCTTTTAACCCTGTGAAACACTGGATGATTTTCCCTTCTGAATAAAAGAAGTTTATATCAAAATATATAAGAATAAAAAAAATCATTAACCCATTAACGCTGTTATATTTTGAAGCCGAAAAGAAAAGATTCTGGGCAGCTACAAAATCAAAAGCGGCGCTGCCCTGGAATCTGTCTGCCCACCGACTGCGGCCCGCTGCTGCATCAGAGCGCGAGCCCCGATATAGCGTCACATTGGTGGGACGCCCGGCAATGCTTATTTTTTCGGGTGTCTCATATATGGGACACCCATCGTTAGTGGGTTAACAACACTGCACCATTTTAAAAGTTTGCATCATGTGACTTAACAGCCAGTCTGGTTAAATAAGTGCTCTAGAATGCCACTGTTGAGGTAGGCCCACCAAAATTTACATAAAGTTCCTCACAAAGTTACAGACTGCAGTATTGAAATGGCTAAGGCAGCTGTAGTCTTCTAAAACTAACTCAAGATGATATTTCTTCACTCATAGAATTGCCAGTTACACAAAGGAAATTACTGCAGTTGATACTAATTCCAGGGAATGTGTTCAAGTAATCTATATTTTGATCTGTAAAATCAGTATTAGGTATTTCTCACCAAAGCAAGTTCTGTCATTGTCTTTGCAAGTCATATGGTATAGAAAACCAATTGCATCGAGGGGTTAGGGTTGGCTTGGTGTGCAAGCACATGCATGCAACTTAGAACATGAGTATTTTGTACAAACATTTTTCATGAGTAGGGCTATTCACATTTTTCTGAATATTTTTATTCATGTAAAGGGAACTAGAAGCCTTATGATAATTTAAATTTATTCAGTGAACTATAAAAGGAGATGGGTGCATTCTTATATTGTTAAATCGTTTTGAAAAATTATTTTGAAGAAAGAAATGTAGACATTGTTTTACGGCAATTGATACCATATATAATCTCAAATTAAAAAAACGAAGAAAAGAAATTCAAAGGGATCGATGAACAAGTGTTTATATAGGAAGCAAACTAATATTTCCCTCCAGAGCTTTAAAGCAAAAACAGCCCATGCTATCTCATTGCCAAGACTTTATCACTCAGTTACTTTTGACATTAAATGCAGCTCAACCAAAGCAGCTAAGCAGAAACAAGCATATCCTACCTATTGCTTTCATGGTTCTCTCTATCTCTTTTTTCTTCCATTCTCTGTTATTTATTTATTTTTCAGTCTGTTTTAAGGTTCATTTTTAGTTTGGTTCAATCCCCAATTAGTCCACTTAAAAGAGTCCCTTTTGAAGTTCTAGACCTATTGCTGTAGGTGGTACACATGCTAATGATATTACTTCAAAGAGAATTCAAAGTAAAAAAAGAAAGTAAATTTCTTCATTAATTGTTTTTTATCTCCCAAAATATATATTGATTTGCCTGAGATTTTAAAAGTATGCAAAAGATGCATAATTGAATATCCTACTATGCGCAGTCATATCCCCATTTGCATTTGCTATATAGTTAAGTTTATTATTTCTTGTACAAGAAAACTGTAATCACTGCAAGGGAATATAACCCCTCTTGATATACAGTGCTGGTTTCACCATAATTTTTGTACCATTTTTGGCTACAAGCATGAGAGATATAGAAAGAAATAGCATTATTTAGTGCTAATATGAAATCTGTTAATATACATTACTGATTCCAGTGTAGAATTCACACCATTTTTACCTACCAGTTTCAAAGATATGTAAAGAACCAGCACTTGTCTCAGAATAATAAGAAAGACTCCCTAGCTACAGGGACATGGGGCCAGTAGCTTGCTATGAAATATTATTGGAAATTAAACTATAATGATGTATTGTATGTTAATTCATATGTTATTGTTTGGGATTGTCATAGAATTTTAGGGGGTATCAGCTTTTCTAATTTATGTGACTTCCGTCTTTATGCTTTGTCATATTGAATCTGTTGATTATATCAGTGTAAGGATATATGCTAAAGCCAACTGCGCTAGCTTTGTACAGTTTAAGATATTAAGATTACTGGTAATTTTTGAATGTTGATAATTTTGATAAAGTGATATTGATTTCTTATGAACTGATAAAGATAATTTCATGTGAGATAATCCCAAAATAAAGGAAATTAATTCCCCTCTCATAATATAAAAAATTAAAGTATGTTATAATCTTTTATTTATTTTCCTTTTTTCCTTTCTTTTAGTTTCAGACATCAGTGTTGTTTGTTCATGTGATTTCCTCATTGCAAAACTGAGAATTAATCTCGCTTCTGTTTCTTCCAGTTCACACCTGAAGCGCCTTTCTACCTTAGATTCTTCATGGGTTTTTAGCTCTCAGAATGGACTAAATGCTCACAACCATCCTGCATGGTTGACCTTGTACCTAGCAGCATGTAAGCTGTTGGATTTGATGCTTGCCCTTCCAGCCCAGCATCTGCCACAATTCCAAATGTGAGTAGCCATCAACACAATCAGGTAGTGCTTGAGAAGATGAATCCTTGCACAGAATCAACACAGATTTTTTTCTTCTTTTGTATTCTCTTCTTTTTAGAAAAGTGGCTCCCAATATTTCCTGCCTCAGTGCTCCTTTTTCAGGAATAACAAAGGCCTATACCTCTCTTCTTATAAAATCTTTCTGTGATGAAATATTGATAATTACCTGGTTCTGATTCGGTAAGGTGTGTATATCATCAAAATTTAAATTTAAAGGTACCGATGGGCTTTTGTTGGACCAGTTCCAACAACTGACGTGGAAGAGAAGACTGAAGGAGCTGGTAACATCCTACTGAAAAGTTGTGATTTTGTCCCTCATATTGCAAGAATTGCAAAACTTATGGCAGATAAGGTGAGAAAAACTTTAACTTTTTTTGAGTATCTTTCATGCAAAGTTATTTGTAAATTTATAGGTATTAGGACAGGACAGATTTTCAACCTATTATTTCAGCCTGGAAGTGGAAAGAATAAAATGCTGGAACACCGTCCTGGGGAACTGCTGCTGAAGATGTCCAGTATATCAACCCTTCTAGATCTGCAGCCCTTCTTCAACACCCTCACATCACCATCATTCACACCGGCAGCAGCCACAATCGGACAATCTCCCCCAGGGATCCTTTCATCATTCCCCTCCTCCACATCCTTGCCTAGTTCAGGGCCTTCATCTGTCTCAGGCACTTCAGCCACCCCCAACTCCAGCCTAGCACACATAGAGGCTGTCATTGAGCGAGATTTCCTGGAACCCCTTCCTTCGTAGGCTTTTTCCTAGGATGTCTTATTCTGAATTAGTATGTGGTGTTGCTGTATGTCTTTGTATAAATACTTGTCTGGTCACTATGTTATCTTTTGTTTGCTTTTTTTATGCCAGTTAAGTGAACTCACAAAAAACAATAGATATAATATTTGTACATGAAATTTGTTATTGTTTGATTTTTGAATAGCAAAATCCCATAGATGATGTTATTATGTATCAAAGTTATGTTCTAAAGAAAAGCATATATTAGAGACTGGCTCAATATTACATCCAAATTTTATTTTATTCTTTAGGCCTTTATAGATAATTCTTGTAAGAAGAAACTATAATTTAAAAAATAGTACATGTATATGATACGCACATATATCTATACATAATATCTTCTCTCCTTAGGTGTCAACATAGAATTGCTTATTTATATTCTACTAAATATACACAAATGTACCCATACATTTCTACACATATCCAGTTACACATAGAAACGTACCAGTATAAACACCACTAAAGGCAAAAATATATGCTTGTAACTGTAGTTTAATATTCAGAGCAATCTGAAGAGAGCATTGCTTGATACAAAATGGATATGTATAATGATAGGATTCCTATCAGTTTTAACTCTTTGTAGAATACAGTTGTTGACATATAAACATATGCTTTCATGCAAAGAGAAAAAATAACTAGAAATAAAGTGCATTCTAAATGGCAGCAGCTAATATCTCATACATTTTATCTGCAGATTCTGATGCAGATATGTAGGCTGAAGAAATGGGAAAGCACAATACAATAACTGTCTAAACACTATCACATTATGGTGAGCTCAGTTTTAAACACTGTAAAAGACTTTTTTTGTTTCTTTTAGTTGTCATAGAAATAAAGACAATAATTGTTTTCAAAGAAATAGGCATGACATGTGAGAAAGGAAATTTTATGGAAAACATAATGTAGCCATTTCTACTTGATGTTAGTTATGGAATCCATGCTGACAGTTGTCATGCATGAACACAGTACCTTCATTTGCAGAGAATGATAAAGAAGAGGAATGTATATAGACTTTGTGGATTTCCTTTAATATCAGTTTGCAAATTTTTTGTGTGAGTGTTGTCAGAATGGGCTTACATTTTATTGCATTTTTATTTTGAGCTTGTGTTGTATTTGGCTGTGAGCTTCAGAAAGAGACTTTTGATGACCAGGTGCCTTATCAATAACTGATTAGCTGCACAGATGTCTTTTAGTACTAATTGTAAGCAGTTTTTGGGAGGATCGTTGAGATGTGAAACTTTTTTTTCTAGGATGTGAATGGAAAATCATAGTCTGGTTTTGTGTACACAGACATGATTAAAAAATAATATTGAAAAATCAAGTTTTCAAAAGTTGGTTTCTTTAGAAATAGATAAATCATGACCTAGATGTGGGTCATAATTCATGTGAATATAGAATATATTTTTCATTTACTGGACCTTCTGTACTTACAGGATTTACATTTTTTTCTGCATCTACTGTTAAGCTGATCCACTTTCTGATTTTAAGAAAAAGTACTTTATTACTATGATGCTGACAGTAACTTCAATTTATAATGTGTAACTATTAGATATGAATCAAATAATGGATTGTCATGGAATCAGTGCAGCATGTCAGTAAAAACTGTCACAAATTTATTTGAGTTGGGGGGCCTTTTAGGATTTTTTTTCTATATTTTACTTAATCCCCAGATAATAATTTTTTATGTATGTTTAACATGATTTTGAAAAAGGATCTTGTGTATCTTCCTGGTTCACATTAACCTTTCCTTTCTCCAAGTGGCCTTTCATTCATAATACTACACCCACCAAAGGCCCAACTGTTACCCTAAAGCAGACTGAAGTTTATTGATGGTTGGCATTTTTTTCTTTCTTTTTTTTCTCTTTAAAGTTCTTGTTACTGTTGGTGAGATTTTCAAGTACTTTTGTGTGTGTGTTTCATCCTAGTCAGCACTTGATGAAGAGATGTAGATGATAATTTTATTTCTTGTTTTATTGCTCTTGATAGTATGATCTTGCTTGAAAGTATGTATAGTATGTACATGCCAAATAATTTTCAGATATGCAATAAAGTATCTTCACATTAAAGCTTATTAATGATGTTTATGTAAGATGATAGCTATATTCCTTGTACATATCATTCCAGGAAATGATATTTTCACTAGAGATTAACAGTTATATCCCAAGAGATGTACATTTGAGTTAGGATTGCTACTGTTCCTCATTATCTATCTAAGCACTTTCAGGTTTCTTTGGTCCTATTATGTCTTTTTTTAGTGTATTCTTTCTTGTACTTTATATGTATCATGTTCTTATCCCATATCCTGCAAGTAGGATTCAATGCCAAATCATATGAAATATTTTTTTCCTCTGCTGGTATGGCAGATGAATCACCTATATTGATTGGTATTATAGATATATGAACACAAATCTTTAAAGATAGAATATTTTGTAAAAAAAAATGTTAGGTGAGTTTTCATTTTAACAAATTTGGTTATAAGCTCATTAAAAGATCCTCTTCCAGAGTGTGTGATGTAAAATGATACAGTACTAGGGTTCCCTTGGTTATGTCACATATATGTTTATTGTTACTGTATTACTAGAACTCAATAGTTTATTTATTCTTAAAACTACAAACATTGATTGTGTAAATATTCATAAATGCAGACATGTGCAATTTGTTACAGGTAGGACATAGATATTTAAGTGCATTAAAGGGCTTAGGTTACTGCAATAAGGAAACTAACATTGGGATTATTCTGCCTCAGGCATATTGTACCAGTTAGGTGAAAGTCAGATTTTCTTTTATACAAAATCCATTTTTGCTGTTTGTGCAATATATAGCAAGTATGAAACTGACTTATGATCTGATATCTTACAAAAATTAGGTGTTTATTAATTTAATTTGCTCTTTATTATGTATTTATTCTAATTTGTAAATAGGCAGAGGTACCAGTTTTAGATATGTTTGTTACGTATATATATATAGTACCCTATATTCCTGGATCTGATTACATGGTTAATCTGTAAGATATTTCATCAGGTAACATACTATTAGGTACCACATAACAAATTAGTGAAGAGTATTTCACTTGCAGTGTTAGGTCTTTGCATTTCTTGGTCATGTAAGAAAAGTTTTGTTTGATTTTCTACAGCCTTCAGAACTGATTTCATGAATAAATGGGAGTGCTGTTGAGAGGCTTTCATTTTTATTTGCCATACAGAATTATTTTGTTATGAACACTGTTCTAAAAGTGCATCTTACATTTTATTGATTTCTTATTGTACCATGTAAATACACAGCAATAGTTTCCTATTGTTAGATTTACTCTTACTTTTATGTTTTACTTCTTCTCATATATAATCTTTTGATTTGAGATTGGTTTGTTTGATTGTATACATGCCATAGGTATACATAAGTCTGATCATACAATGATCAGTACAAAGTAATCAAAGTAGAAAAATCAGAATGAAAATCATTCAAGTTGATAGTGTAATGTATAAGTGATAACATGTATGATCCTTGTGAGATGTGAATTTATATCATGTGGTTTCATAATTATAATAATTATGACTAAAAGGAATCAGTTTGATATTTTGAAATGCAAAGAATGTTGACCTCCCATTTATTTACAGTATTTCCATAAACAAAATGCCTTAGCAGTTGACTGAGCAAAAAATGTAACCATAAACATTTACATGCTTTACATGAATTGTTCATTTTATGTGTACTATGTATAAACAGTATATATTCCTTTTTAAAAATCTCGGGTCAAACTCACCTACACTTATTTTTTATCAGTAGTTAGTGTCAGTGAAGTTTTATGTTACTGAATGCAACACAGATATGAGAATTTGAAAATGATTACCTGTAAATTGGCCATGGAAACGTCTTCTGATCTTGCAGAGTGCAACCCTTCAAAATTAAGAGTGTGGCTTTCTGATAAGCGTGACTTCAAGACTTCTGTCATATTTTAGTATGCAAGTTTTGTTTATTTTATTATGCTATGATATATATATGATACTTTTTTCTTCTTTCTATATATATATATATAAAAGAATGATGTTTATTCCTGCAGAAGATTGATGTATGGCTAAGACTGGTGATGGGATAATGTGATAATAAGTATATTTTACATGTATTGTCATACAAGAAATAAAATGTGATAATGTTGAAAATTTACATTTTGTTATCTTTAAACCTTTTTGAATGTGAATAGCTCTTAATGTTATTCTTTGTGAAAAGAAATGGTCTAATATCTCTTGATGAATCACTGAGGGAGAGGAAGTCATAACATTATAGCCAATTTCTTAATTATGGCAATAACCAACATGTGAAAAGAAATGCAATTATGTACATTCAGTAAATTTTTGTGGGATTATAAGTAAAGTACATATCAGAAAGTGATCCACGGCAGCAAATAAGAACATCCTGACAACTATTAATAACATAATCTAACAATTCTGATCATAAAGAAAATGGTAATTGTTATTTTTATTGCTGTTATGATTATGAAAATTATGTATATTAGTATTATCATTATCATTTCCCTAATCCTTATCACCATTACCATAATCATTACCATTATTAATGTCAAAAAAGTTTCAAAGACAATAGTTTCAGAATTATGAGTGATTACTAATAATGATGAATGCAGAACTAGTAAAATGATATTGGTAATGGGAACATTCATAGTGACAAGATATGATAGAGAAGATGATAAAAGTGAGAATAATGATAATCATGAAGAGGGTATTAGTACATTATAAACAAAGCTTAAACTAATAGGTATAATGTAGCAAAACTAATAACAAAAGCATTAAGACCTGAGCACAGTCCTTTAGTGGTGCCCCTTTGGCTCTTCCAGTGTAGAGATCCGTAAAACCAAAAGTTGATTTGTTGGGGTTTGATAGAATAAAGCCTGAACATATAACACTAGCTACTTTTAGGAAATGCCCTCAAATTCCTTCGATGAACGTATTAAGTTTGATAGAATTAATGCATGGATGATAAAAATGAGCTGCTCTCGCAATACAGCATCAAATCCATTTTATGAATGTCGAGAGTAATGTAAATGGGATGCTCTGAGAATATACCATCAATTCCATTTTATGAAAATGGAAGATTTTAATTAGCTGCAAAATTTCATAATAAAGCCCTCAGGATATTGTACCCTAGTGGTGATAGTAGTATTCTGTAGTGTTTCTTAAACTTGGTGGCTATTCATTATACTGTCCATTGATTAATCCAAGGCAAAGTAGTAATGATGATCACTGATGATACTTGTAGCAATGATAATCAAATAATGATAAAACTTCCATAATTGATAACAGCAATACCAGCAATGTTAATGATGATATACTGGAATAATAGTAATTATGATACCGTAACGACAACTAGTGCTGCTGCTGCGGTACTACTACTATTATAATAACAAAAATTATAATTAAAATAAGGGTAATGATAATGGTAATAAAAATGAAGATGTTAATGATAATGGTAGTAATAATGCTAATGATTTTAATGATAGTAATTGTAATAATAATCAATGATGATAATAAAATCAGTGATAATAATAAGGAATAAATCATAATAGTAAATAGTAGTAATGATGATAATTATAGTAATAACAATAATAATAATGACAATGGTGATAATAACTATAATGATGATGATGATAATAATAACAATAATGGTAATGATTATAATAACAAGAAAGATAATAACAATTATAATATTTTTATGGTAATAAGGCTAATGATAATAGCAATAATGTTAATAACAATAAATAGTAATAAAAATCATAATGAGGATAATGAAAATAGTAATACCACTGCTCCTTGTATTACCACTGATAATGATAATTGTGATAATGATAATGATAATGACAACAGAAATAATAGTAATGATAATAATAACAATCATACTACTACTATTACTACTAGTATCTATGATAATAATAATAATGATACCACTGCTACACTACTACTAATGATAATAATAATAATAAATGATAATAATTATGATAATGATAACAATAATGATAATGATAATAATAACAATGATAAATATGATAATAATAACAATAATAAATATGATAATAATAACAGTGATAAATATGATAATAATAACATTAATAAGAAAATAGTAATGATAATAGTGATAATAGAAATTATACTAATAACAATATTGATAAATGATAAAGAAAATAATAATAATACCAATATTGATAAATGATAAAGAAAATAATAATACCAATAATGAAAATAATAATGATAATGATAATGATTATAGTAATGTTAATGATAGTAATGATAAGGATAGTAGTGATAATAACGATAATAATGATAAAGATAATGATAATATTAATAATATTTTAAACAATAGTATAATAATAATGATAATAATAATAATAATAATAATAATAATAATGATAATAATTAATAATAATAATAATAATAATAAATAATAATATAATAATAATAATATAATAAATAATGAATGATATATAATAAATAATAATAAATGATATTAATAATAATAAATATAATAAACATAATAATGATAATGATAATGATAATAATATAATATATGATCAATTAAATATGATGATGATGATGATAACAATAATGTAATAATAATAGATGATATGATAATGATAAATAATAATAGTGATAATAAT